TAAAATAATTGAAATTGGTCCAGGAGCAGCTGATTTATTAACGTTCAAAATCTTTCATAATATTGTTACATGTTTCGTTTTCGGTTTTCACAAAGTATTTAAAAACTACGCAAATTTGGGTAGAATCTTACCAGATCGGTCAAAACTGAACCTAGTCAGACGGAGGAGCACTGCTGAATTCTGAATAGTTACCAGTTTAAACTGTAATGTATCCAATGGATTCTCTCTTAATCATCATGAATACCATCATTATTCACTAAGCCTTGCAAACATATAATTCGACAGTGAGCATTCATAAGGGCGTATACGCGATGATCGATTCTCTTCATCGAATTTCTCTTTGCATTGCTACAGCTAAGCGAAACAATTTTCTAGAATTTGTTCAATGCAGAGTTGTAACAGGTTGTATTAGCTATCAAAAGCAATAGCAAACGTACCGAGAAACGTTAAATCTAGCGAGTTATTAACAAAAGAGAAAATCGATGAAGAGAATCGATCATCGCGTATAGGCCCTTATGCATGCTCACTGTCGAATTTAATATTTTTTTTTGGACTTTTTTGTAATAAACAGTAATTACCAAAATAACCTATTTAAACTTTGCTACCACACAATTTCAATTCAAAACTGTCTAGACATGGACTCTTTATGGGCTCTTTATTATTTAAAAAATAGTCTTAATGCTTAAGGCAAAATAACAATCTGAGTAAGTCTACTTGTCGGATTGAGAACTAGTTAGAACAAAATCCACTTCGGTTAGGCATCTTGATGTCATTTGTGATAACTGTCAAGCTTTCCGTTTCCGTTTCGCTTCCGGCCTTTAAGGGGCGGGCTAACCCACAGTTGTGTGAAGAAGCATTTGTGTTCCTCTGAATGGATATTCGACTGTAGTGATGATTTTGGTGAAATTCGGCTAAGCAGTCTTTATAATTTAGAACAAAAAAAAAACAATAGACCAAATATAAGCAATAGCCCAAACAGCAAAATCCTATTGGGGATTGTTATCTTAATCCCCAATAGCTAAAAATTTCATTGTGAACAAAATCCGCTACAGTAGCACAGCCACAGAATTTAAATCCAAACATTCATTTGCAAACCAAAGATGATGTTAATGATGTTTTTAATCTCTGACTACTTCTATAGTTGAAGCAAGAGCTGCATCAGTACCAAAATGCGAGATTAAATTCGATTCAATTATAATAGACGACGATCTTCAGCTTTTGATCCGCCTGAAAAATGTCCGTAGGCAGCAATATCAAAGAACACGCGTGCCCTGAGGAACAAAACTTTTGAAAATAATGTTTCGAAATTTTTTTTTTTTTTTTTGGTATCAAGCTGGAGCTGCGTGACAGCTTAATTTTCAAGACTTGACCCATTTGAATAAATTTTGCTTCTATCTTTGACAATACAGCAGAAGGACTAGCCTATGTTGGCCGCTTGAACACTGGATTCCGTATGTATTGTTTCAAGATAGTTATAGAAAAAATGCTGTGACGTGTGCGCGTAGATACATCCGCGTAGTAAACCGATTGAATAAGTAAATCCGTTTCGAACGAAATATCTAAATTATGTAAGTTACGAAAACCGCGCGAATTCCGAGAGCGAGAAAAAAAGGCTTATTATCATTTAAAGAGTGCCACCAAAATAAATGTGATAGCCTATGTTGGCAAGTTGATTAATTTTGGTTTCCTCCTTAGATATTCTACTTATTTACTACTGAGCTTTGTATCAAATAAGTTAATTTAAAGAACGTATCAATCATTTCAAGATTTCGCGACCGCACCGAACAAATTCTATAAGCTCAAAAGCGTTTGACAAGCTCTACCGAATTGCGTATCACTTCTGCGTAAGCTCCGTAGACGTAGGCGCGTTGAATCCGACAGTCGGCAAAGGTTTAACCTGTACCAACACCGCTTAAGGAACGACCTCGAGTCAGTGAAACCGTTTATAGTTAAACATCTAAATTACGTAAGATACGAAAATCGCGCAAATTGTGAACGCCACGCGAAACAACCGTAGGGAAAAAAAACAACTTATTATCACTTAAAGAGTGCCACCAAAATAAATGTGATAGCCTATGTTGGCAAGTTGATAAATTTTGGTTTCCTCCCTAAATATTCTACTTATTTTACTGTTGAGCTTTGTTTCAATTTAGTTATTTTACCGCACGTATCAATCATTTCAAGATTTCACGACCGTACCGAACAAATTCTATACTACAGAAGCTCAAAAAAAAAAAAAAAAAAACTTTTGGTGAGCTCTACCGCATTGCAAATCACTTCTGCGTAAGCTCCGTAGACGTAGGCGCGTTGATTCCGACAGACGCGAAAAGTTAAACATGCATCAATACCACATAAGGAAAGATCGATTTTACGTATGGTTTAGTTCATAGATTAACATTGATTGCTGTTTACAAATGTAAGTACTTGAACACTAAGAAATAAGTTAACTCAAATGCTTTAATCGCATATATAAGAGATTTCGCGTATTGAGAGAATAATATAGTAATCGAGTACAACAAACTCAGGGGAATACAATACCTCCAAAAGTTTAAAAGCTATTAATTGTCACATTCCTTTCCTTTTCTTATTTCCTAAACTATTCCTCTCCTTGTTAATCTGCTAAATGCTATTGGTCTGCCTGCGTTTTCTTTTTTTTTTTTTTTAATTCAATACTAAATAAGAAGATTTATTCTACAACTATAAAGGTTAGTTGCCTCCCTAAGCGGACCACCCGCATCCTAATTCTTTTGTTAATCTACTTAATGTCATTAGACTTTCTGAAGTTTATTATTTAAATTCATTTGATGGTTATGATATCTCATTAGTCTAATTTAATAAATTATTAAAAGCTCTAAGTCACCTAATCAATCATAACCCATGCTTTATTAAGTATCTGCACTTGTGCTTGTAATCTAAAATTAAACGTGTTTCAAGTACTTTTGATTTTGACCTATACCTATTTATTATATCTTAGTTCGACCCAGGTGACACCTTCAAGTGACTAAAATGCTTCATTTTGAAGTTAGTTTCCTAGCTGATTTTTAAATTACATAGGGTATATGCTCCAACTACGCTCACACGTTTCCACTATGTCGTCCCACAAAATTACGTATGGATATATCACAATAGAAGCACGCAACAGTGGAAATCCCGAGCCATAGTTCAAACATTTATCCCAAATCAAAATGAAGCACATATAAGATTAGTTACAATACCATGTACAAAAATGATGTTTAAAATTGTTCCCTGAGTAATACTTCAATGAAAACAACAATGAAAGCTTGTCACGCAAGTAGAAGGAGCACCGTTGGGCACTTTCTGAAATATTTCAATAGTATAATTCCCTTGCAAACCCAAATAAATCTATCTGCGTAAAAATAAATAAAATAAGAGTGATTTGCGGCAAAACCCGCCAGTATCACACCCAACGTCAGTGCCTATACGTAAGCGTACTACGACGCGGCTCTCAATAAAAGGAGTAACAAGTGTGATACTATCACTGCTGGACTAGATCTTTTGTTCTCTCATGCAGTGGTTTATCAGAGAGGGGAAGCTCAGTAATCCTCATTGCCTGCCCATGGCGCCATTCTATCGCGGCATGAGCCAGCAACGTCGGCAACAAACCCACCGTCTCCAACACTCCACTAGCATGAAATTAAGCCCGCCCACCAACAGCAAGGTGCAAAAACTAGCCAAGGGGAGGGAAAATAATGTTTCGAAATTAGACCCGAATTCCAAATCCTTTTGGAAATTCACAAAAAAATTTCCAGCCTATTCCAGCGCTTAAAGAAGGTGGTAAAAGTTTCCTAGCTGATTTTTAAATTATATAGGGTATATGCTCGAACTACGCTCACACGTTTCCACTATGTCGTCCCACAAAATTACGTATGGATATGTAGCAATAGAAGCACGCCACAGTGGAAATCCCGAGCCAAAGTTAAAACACTTATCGCAAACCAAAATGAAGCATAGGGGAAATGGATGTAATATCGGCCTAAATGCTCCTAATTTGGGCCCATACATAAATTCAGCAATCGACTAAATTTTAAACAGCGACCAAAAATATACATTAGTACCATCCCAATGACGCGTTCATCTAGATAAAATTGATAAATAGCAGATTTTTAGCGATGGGCCCAATCTTAGATCCATAGGTCAACATTAGAGTCATTTCCCCTATATAAGATAAGTTACAATACCACGTACAAAAATGGTGTTTAACATTGTTCCCTGAGTAATGCTTCACTAAAAACAACAATGAAAGCTTGTCACGCAAGTAGAAGAGCACTGTTGGGCACTTTCTGAAATATTTCAATAGTATAATTCCCGTGCAAACCCAAATAAATCTATGTGTGTAAAAATAAATAAAATAAGAGTGATTTGCGGAAAAACCTGCCAATGTCGCATCCAACGCCAGTACCTATACGTAAGCGTACTACGACGCGGCTCTCAAACAAAGGAGTAACAAGTGCGATACTATCACTGCTAGACTAGATCTTTGGTTTTCTCATGCAGTGGTTCATCAGAGAGGGGAAGCTCAGAAATTCCTCATCGCATGCTCATGACGCTATTCTGCCACGGCATGAGCCAACGAGGCCGGACCTAAACCAACCCTCTCCAACGCTTCACTATGAAGCATAAGATTAGGTTCGCCCACCAACGTCCAGGTTAAAAACTAGCCAAGGGGAGGAACAATGTAAAAACACTTAGATATATATCATAACAATTAAGGCTGGTAAGTTACTGTAGTAGCTGAAGCACCTAGGTTAAAATGAAATGTAATTTATTTTGAATTTGGAACAAATAAAGAGTTCAAAAAACACAATTGTAAGTACGATATATGTATGACAAAATGAGAAATTCACTAATTTTTAAACAAAATATAACAGTTTCCCTGAAGAAGTTGTTAACCGGCATCGAAACGCTGGACAATATCACCAAAAGGTGTTCATTCGTTTAAGGAAGTTTTCTTTTGTTGTTCATTGAGGTAAACGCATCCCTTTTTGCAATCTAGACGTATTTTCATATCTATATGTTTAATATATTATATCCGTATCAGCAACCTGACGCTTACACCTAGGTAAGAGTTAACATAAAGCGTAATTTGTGGCATTAGCAAAAATATCTTTGTCTGTAAACATGGCCTATAAGTTGGATCCCTTTCCAAATTTTGTAAAGAAAGCCGGAAAGAGACTCTCACGCTACGTATCGAAGAGAGAAATACACATGTCTAAAAATAATTTAAATACGTTTTAAACACCGTCATTAGAAAGGGGCAGAGGGTATATTTTGATGAATCTTATACGATTGATTCAGTGTCTTGTGCTTGGATCAAATCACGATCGGAACAGAAAATAGCTATCATATTCTACCTACATCTAAATACAACAGTTCAATCGATTAATAGTTAAGATTTGGAATCTTAATACGAAATGCAAATAATTGCTTTTAAGCTTGGCTTAAGCTCTGTTATATCTGCCGCTTCACTGGACCTATGGCACACCCACCTTGGGACTATTCTCGAATTCGCATTCCTTGAGAAAGTCCTCGAATATTTTCACCAAACTCTCGATGCCCTGCAGGTAGTTGGTGTCGATGGTACTTTCTTCCGCCGGAAAAGCGTGCGCAAAATCAATCATACGAGCAGTAGCCCAAACTTTGTTTTCGTACGATCCGACTAGATTATCCCGCATGAAAACGTAATTTTCACGCATAGCTTTCATGTCCTTTCGGTGGTCATAAAAATAAAATAAAATTTAGAAATAAGGTAGCTACTTACATATTGCATCCTACCTCTTCGTAGTTATTGAAAGCCGAGTGACTTCTTTGGATTTTAAAATAATGTTGTAAGGGTTCTATATCGCCTCCTCCCGTCGGTGTTCCTGGTGACGAGCTGGGACCAATCACCGAACTGCTCGCCGTGCCCGTCGGACTAGTGCTAGTATTGCAGCTAGTCAGCTTAGAAATAGAGCTACTCAGACTTTTCGATTGATACTGCAATACAGGCTTTAGACGGCGCGCATCGTACACTAGCAGGACGGAGCTGGAATACAGCCGGAAGGTCGTTTGGGTGCGAGCCCACTTTTGTATGATCCATAGATCGGATAGGAACTGCATCAACAACTGCCGGCACAGGCCACTGTCAGCGTTTAGGAACTTACGGAAGGCTGAAATGGGTAAAAAAGGATTCAATCAATGATTGATTGTCAGAATAGTTCTATCGAGCATGCAAGGCAAGTTAACTGATTAGAAATCAAATATTAACTCACGCTACTCACCATCTTTCACAGTAACTTCGCTGAGCTTCTTCCCGAACTCCTTTCCATAGCGCATCCGACGACCATTGGTAATAGAGTAAACCTGAAACCCGGGTATACAAAGTCCTAGGTTTTGTTTGCAGGCCTGATACTTTGACTCCTCTGCTTTACGCTTTTCCTCCGACGCTTGTGGATCCCAAGTGCGACAGCCTATCTTAACGTCCATGATACATGGTTCCAGCATTCCGTACGTTAGATCAGAAAGCTTTATAAACTCACTCTGTTTACCATCGATGGTAAGCTTAATGTGACCCCGATACTGAGGAATTACATCTTTTAATGGCAGTAGATCCGTTTCGGTATTTGCCACCTGCACCTGTTCATAAAATTTGATTTCACGAGCCCCACAAAGTACTTTGCCAGCTGGTTTGAAAATCGAACCATCATCCGAGCTCTTCAATAAACCTATGCAAAAGGGAACCAATGTATAGCTTCTTCTGAAATTTTTAAAGTAATCCTAAATCCGAATCATGCTACCTACCTAAGGAACCCGCTCCATCGAAGAATGTATGACCAGCAACTTGATCCTCCATCGGCTGGAACCCCTCGGGTAAAGTGGGATATTCCTGTCCGGTAGACATCCCTAGGCCTAACGTCAATTTTTTCGTTCTTTCGGCAGCGGTTACATGACTTTTTCTTTTCTGATAAGGTGGCAGCTTAAAATGATGATGATGGATGCTCATATCTGCGGCACAAGTTTATTAATTTACCGAATATTGAGTTGTAATTAACTCTGTTCAAAAAAAACTATAGCATTCACCTGGTACCCAAAAGCGACTGATAGCAGTACGAAGTGGTTGTAACGAAAAAGATGCTTTCGCCTTCCCAAACCAAGGAAGTTTATCAACTTAATATCTATTTATCGCTAAAAATTATTATCTTTTATCCGGGTTAAATCATTCTCGTATTTTTTCCGATGTGAATCACCCCAGCATGTGATCGATAACGACATATACGAAACAACACAAAAGTATAGTTTTTTTTTTCTATTTGAAATTTCAACTGATAACGTTTACGCGATACGGACTGGGCCCGTGAATAGCTTAAAATCAGTAGGCATAGAATTTATGCGCTCATATATAAAGCAAAACAGGCATTTGACACCGACAACAACTATAGGCTGACGCTGCACATATTTAACAATAATTAATCATATAGGAGAAATGGCTCTAATGTTGGCCTATGGATCTAAGATAGGGCCCATCGCTAAAAATCTGCTTTTTATCAATTTTATCTAGATGAACGCGCACTAATGGATATTTTTGGACGCTATTGAAAATTTAGACCATTGCTGAATTTATGTATGGGCCCAAATTAGGGGCATTTAGGCCGACATTACATCCATTTCCCTTAGTTGAGCAGTTTTTGTGACATCCTTACTCTCGGAACCACTTCGAAACATTAAGCTTCATGCAACAAGTGAAACATTCAAATTGTTACTCCACGTTTGCTTCACTGCAGCATACATGAAGTAGCAATTTCATGTAAAATTGGGCACTGATTTCCGAGATTTATTAAATTAAAAATTCAAAGGGGAAGTGCATGTATAGCCTACGTAGCGGCCATTTGTGGACTCTATAAGAAATCACCTTTAACCTACGAAATAGTAGTGGTTACCATGGGACTATTTTCATTGTAGGCAAGGATAGGGACCAACACAAAGCACAGATAAGTAAACAAATGCAGTAGTGGTGGCCTTTAAATTAGTACAATAGGCCGATTTTCATACAAACTAGCCAACTTTGGCATGTTGCAACCAGTTGCAACTATCTTTTGTTATGATCAATTAGACAATGAGCATGCATAAGGACGTATACGCGATGATTGATTCTCTTCATCGATTTTCTCTTTGCATTGCTACAGCTAAGCGTTACAATTTTCTAGAGTTGTAACAGGTTGTATTGGCTATCAAAAGCAACAGCAAACGCACGGAGAAACGTTTATTCTAGCGAGTTATCAACCCTCCGTTACTCGCGCTGTTGTACTTTGTACAACACATATGTGTTTTCCATTGCCATTTGGTTGCTGAGTTACCAATTGATCTGAAACCAACGTATATTCCTCAAAAAAATGGTTTTGAACTAAACAAGCAACATTTTGATTACAGTAAACCCCCAAAAAATGCGGATAATAGGGTAAATGTAAATGGAAACCGCTCAAATGGTATCCCTACTACGTGAGACCCATATACGCGGACCCATATGTATACTAGCGTCGCATGGTGATAAAATTCTGAGCTATTGTCCATCAACCAAAAGTCTTGACCCCTTGAACAAGTTTGTCCAAGATAGTTATCTCGGGCTGTTTTATATGCGAGAATTTCACATGTATACTAGCGCCGCAAAGTGAGAAAACTCTGAAATACTGTCCTTCAGCCAAAAAGATTGATCTCCTGAACAACGTTGTTCAAGACAGTAACTTTCTATCTGGTCAGGATCTCAAGATATATCACATGCAAGAATTTCACATGTATACTAGCGCTACATAGTGAAAAAATTCTGAACTACTGTCCAATATCGAAAAGCTTATGATCTCCTGTACAACTTTTCCCAAGATTGTAACTTTCTAACGTGTCAGGATCTCTAGATATTTTATATGCGTATTTTTTTCGCACCAAGCGATAAGCTTTGACCTCCTGAACAACTTTGTCGAAAACAGTAAATTTCCCAAATCTTCAAGCTATAGGATATGCGAGAATTGAACATGTATACTAGCACCACTTGGTGAGAAACTTCTGAACCACTGTCCACCAGCCAAAAGTATTGAGCCCCTGAACAAATTTGCCTAAGACAGTATAAAGGGTGATACGGTCAAAATTTGGTCAATATCAACTTGACGTATTTCTTTCAATTTTGCATTTAAAAAACCTGAACACCCCTCATTTTGAAGGTGTGTGTGTGTAGAATGTTGCTCCTATTTTGATTTTGGAATTCACTCTTCAGTTGTCAAAATGCCGTCCAAGCAAGAAGAGCAGCGTATCAAAATTTTGCTCGCGCATCGCGAAAATCCGAGCTACTCGCACGCAAAGTTGGCAAAATCGCTAAAAGTTGCCAAATCAACCGTTACAAATGTAATTAAAGTGTTTGGGGAACGTTTGTCGACAGCCAGGAAGTCTGGATCGGGGGGAAATCGAAAACCGGAAGCCGCTGAGACGACAAAGAGAGTTGCCGGTAGTTTCAAGCGAAACCCTAACCTCTCTCTCCGAGATGCCGCAAATAAGCTGGGTGTATCGTCTACAACCGTGCATCGAGCCAAAAAACGAGCCGGACTATCGACTTACAAGAAGGTAGTGACTCCAAATCGCGATGATAAACAAAATACGACGGCCAAAGTTTGACTGCGTGGTAATGGACGACGAAACCTACGTCAAAGCCGACTACAAGCAGCTTCCGGGACAGGAGTTTTATACGGCAAAAGGAAGGGGAAAGGTAGCAGATGTTTTCAAGCACATGAAACTGTCAAAGTTCGCAAAGAAATATCTGGTTTGGCAAGCCATCTGTACCTGTGGCTTGAAAAGCAGCATTTTCATAGCTTCCGGGACTGTCAACCAAGAAATTTTCGTGAAAGAGTGTTTGAATAAACGTCTGCTGCCTTTCCTGAAGAAACACGGTTGTTCCGTACTGTTTTGGCCGGATTTGGCATCTTGCCATTACGGTAAAAAGGCCATGAAGTAGTACGCCGCCAACAACGTGCAGGTGGTTCCCAAGGACAAGAACCCTCCCAACACGCCAGAGCTCCGCCCAATTGGGCTATTGTCAAGCGGAACCTAAAGAAGACCAAAAAAACTGCTAAGGGCGAGCAGCAGTTCAAGGCAAACTGGCTTTCTGCGGCGAAGAAGGTGGACAAGGTGGCTGTACAAAATCTGATGGCAGGGGTCAAGCGTAAGGCCCGGCAATTCGGATTTGGAAAAGCGGAAGCCTAACTGAATATTTTTCCTGAATTTTATACTAATTGAACTTGAAAAAGAAATTTAATTTGATTTTTTAAATAAACGATTTCCCGATTTACACGCGTTTTACCTTGACCAAATTTTGACCGTATCACCCTTTATTTCTGCTGTATCCAGCTGGTCAAGATCGCAAACTATTGTGCATAGGGTAGAGAACTACTTCGGTCTAATCGCCCATTTTGGACCTATCGAACAGAAAACTTTAAATAAATGCATGATTTCAAAGGTAACAAGTCAATTATGCGTTTGGTACGATACTTTACTTAATAAGCTACCGAACGAAATCAATGAGAATGCGTGATATGAAGGTTTGCACCCATTATTCGCAAAAACAAAAGAAGCGCTTCGACCGAATCATTTTTTATCTTCATCCGATAGGCCGAAATGAATTCTTTGGCGTTTCAATGCGTTAGGCCGAGTTAAGAATCCGTAGGCCGAGTTTAGCGTCAAGAAGCAGTGTTAGACTTTTGACAATATCTCAACGATTGGTTTCTCTTTATCAAACCTTATGGTACGTACGGAAAGGTAAATAAATTTAAAAGCCATCAGTAGTAATAACATTCCGTGCTAAACTGCGCTAGATTAAGAAAGACTAAGTGCGGGTTGTGCTTAATAGGCCGGAAATGGGGTAGTTAACCCTATATGCGAGAATCTCTTGTCTCTCTTGAATCTCTTGAGAATTTCACCCTTTTTTCTATCTGGTCAGGATCTCGAGATATTCCATGTCGTAACCAATTAGGTCAAATTCCACGTATTATGGACAGCGGTTACGTTGTTTCCATTTACGTTTTCCCTATTATGCGTATATTTTGGGGGTTTACTGTAATCAAAGTGTAGCTTGTTTAGTTCAAAACAAGTTTTTTTAGGAATACCCGTTGGTTTCAGATCGATTGGTAGCTCAGCAGCAAAATGGCAATGGAAAACTCACACTGTTGTACAAAGTACAACGCGCGAGTACTCGTGTTATAAAAGTTGGCGCGAGTAACGAAAGGTTAACTAAAGAGAAAATCGACGAAGCGAATCGATCATCGCGTTTACGCCCTTATGCATGCTCACTGTCGAACACAAACGAAGTGACAGACGACTTACTGGCGAAGAAATCCATTAAAATAATGTGGTTCACTGTAATAGAATTTTCTTGGAAGCTTGTGCCATCATCCACCAGATGGGTTAGTTTTTTTGTTTTGATTTGAACAAAGTTGATTTTGTGTACAATGATTCTTTGACAGTGTGCAAAGAGTGCGTATCATTTTGTCATTTTTTTATGCATTTCAGTTTTGAGTAGAGTGAAAGAGATAGAACCAAAACATTCTAGTACATTCGGTTAAAATGCTAGTTCAATCTAGTAGTAGTGTTGCCATGTGGTACAATCCAGTAGTAGTGGTGTTGCCATGTGGTACACTGAAAAATTGCAATAGCAGGTTAGTCACCAAAGTTTTCGAGCCGCTCCGTCTGTTACTTCGTTTGTGCTGTCGAATTGAGCTGAAATTATGACACAGAACTACAAATATGCTGAATTTTGAGCGTACGTAATATAAAATTATTGGAAGCGCTTGCCGGAAATTGCCGGGCTGGTTAAAAATGGCTAACTAATTAGCACGCCGTCGTTTATGGGCAATATAGTCGAAAATTTTAAAACTGGAGAGTGCAGTTTCGAACCCCTTTGGATACGGTTGTGTTTTAAGTTTGTTCTCTGTTTTGTGCGTGCGTTCGCTTTCATAGTTTTCGGCTGCATT